TTTCTGGAACTTCTGAAACTTCTGGAACTTTTGGACTTTCTGGAACTTCTGGAACTTCTGGAACTTTTGAAACTTTTGGAACTTTTGGAACTTTTGGAACTTCTGGAACTTCCGGAACTTCCGGAACTTCTCGAATTTCTGGAACTTCTGAAACTTCTGGAACTTTTGGACTTTCTGGAACTTCTGGAACTTCTGGAACTTTTGAAACTTTTGGAACTTTTGGAACTTTTGGAACTTCTGGAACTTCTGGAATTTCCGGAACTTCTCGAATTTCTGGAACTTCTGAAACTTCTGGAACTTTTGGAACTTCTGGAACTTCTGAAATTTCTGGAACTTCTGAAACTTCTGAAACTTCTGGAACTTTTGGACTTTCTGGAACTTCTGAAACTTTTGGAACTTTTGGAACTTTTGGAACTTCTGGAACTTCTGGAATTTTTGGACTTTCTGAACTTTCTAGAACTTGATTACCTAATTTAAATCCAATCATAAATATTATTAGAATATCATTAAATAAATCACCTACGCCAATTAATGTTAATTATTGATTAAAATTTTGATAAATTTCAGGACGATTTTTATTAATTCAAATTATATCCGAATTGTTGTACATTACTGTTCTATATGTATGCTGTTGATAGAATTATTCATATTAGAAGCAGATTTTCCCAATCCCGTGTACGAAAATCGAACAGTCCGAAAATGTTCGGCTTCATTTTCGGGAAAAATGTTTATCGAAAAAACCCTAATCGCGCAAGATATTAGAGGAGCCGTCGTATTCTGACAATTAGGATCGCCAATAATCAGCGACGATAAAGTTTTCATTTTAATTAGCTCGTTAGCGACGCGTCAGGGTGACGGTTTTTCCATCAGCGGCAAACGACGTAATCGGTGATATATAGCAATTTTCCATCGAAGCACGTAATCGATTAGACCGGGCCGGCAACGGTCCGCACGCGCAAGTGATTCATTTTCGTTCCCGTATTCTTATTTTTCCAAAGGCGCAGCTAAAAATCGACCAAGGAGAAAAATGAAGGAACGTGCCTCGCCGCAAAAACGCCGAACTCGTAAATAACACGTAAAGCCACTGACTATGAAGCGAGTGCCCCGATCCCCCGATTGCGCTAATAACACCACTAAAGCATTTACCGAGGGGAAAAAGACTGTACGACTCCATTGATCGCGGGCAAAATTTCACTAACGAGCGACGCTCGCCGACGTCTTTGCCGGGAAGTCGATTAATTTTCAAGATGGAGGCAATCTCGGTGTTTCTGGACGCGAGCACTGCGCCGACGATGCCGTTTCAACGACAGAATTCTTTATCGACGTTCCTGTCGCCAGTTCTTCTGCGATTCATGCGCGCGATTGCTTCGCAATTGTTCATTCGAAGCCTCGATTGCCGATTATTTTGCAATTCATTCTTCCAGATTTCTATGGAATTTTATTTTCAAATCGAATAAAATTCATTCGAAGGACATTGTGTAGTAGATCGTTGAATTTGTTTTTTCGTCAACTATAACGCTATAAAGTAAAATATACATAGTGCTATTTAAAAAAAGTCAAGATGACCTGAGCTTTCTAACGAATGAAAATATTTTTCGAAATTTTTATCATCGCACTTTATTCTCCTGCAAGTGCTCGTTAATTTTTATTCTAAACATTCTTTCGACGGATTAGTATAAATGCCTCGAAAATCGGTGCGATCGTTAAGATGAAGTGACAGTAAAAATTAATGAAAAAATTGTTCAGCACTTAGTGTGCAATTAACGAGTTATTTTCATTTACAAATTAAAATCGCACACTCTGTACAGACACAACTATTTTACCGTATATCTTGAACAATGCCGATCAAGAAATTTTCTGAATAAAGAAATTTAAACAATAAACAGCTAAATTGATCTGAATACTCGCTTCATATATTTTATGATACTTTAGTTGTGCACTGAGTTACATTGCTTGACATTTCGCTGAAATATTTCGTATGCTTTCCACTCTGTTATTAAAATGTTCATAAGAAGAGAGGGAGAGAGAGAGAGAGAGAGAGAGAGAGAGCAGGAATAACAAATTCATCACAAACCTCAGTGGCATATACGGGATCGTCCTGAAATGAGAAAGGGTTCAGGAGAATATCCGGACGAAAAATAGTTGAAAACCTACCCCAAAATACAGCTTGGAATTCGTTGCAATGATAAACGCGTACTCGTAAGCCGAACGTTTTAGTTTTATTATCTTCGTGTCAGTTTTCCAGCGCAAGTACACAATTTCGCGTGCCTCTCAAAGATAAAGTACTCCGAATACATGTTGTCCACCAGATACCGCCATATTTGCGCAACCGGGTTGTTCCGCGAGTTGCAACCTGCCTCTGGGTCTGACGCCGCGTCCGCCGGCAACGCTTTCGCAATCCCGTGTTTGCGAAACGAATGTCTAACATTTGTTGTATCTTTTAGTCGCAGAGACACGCTGACATATGGCTCTTTCATTTTTGTTAGCCGCGGCGAACGCTCCGGACGAGTTGGACACGCTTATTATGGGAAATAAAATCGGATCGCGGATTTTTGTGGAAAATGAAAATTGTCCTCACTAGTTACAAGGAATGGAAACTGAATAGCGAGTTCTTCCTCTCGGTCACAATTTTAATTAACTCAAAATTGTATACGTAATTTCACAGAATTATGCAAATTATAGATTTGAAGAGTTTTCAATTGTAACTACTTAATTCTTTTCTTCTGTTTACTAGAACGAAATGGGAAACCTTCAAGCTTTCATTTGTCTACGATTTAAATTTTGTTGATATTAAAGTGAACATTTTAATTTGAAAATTGCCGAAGCCTAAATGTAACAGCCTGTATTATTATATATACAGTGCATGTAGATCGATCTTTGGAAGAATTGGGATACGAGTAATTAAAAGAAAGTGTTACAGTATCATAATGATCTGAAACAAAGGAATTCCCTCAACCTTACCAAAAGATTGTGATCTCTTAACAATTGTAGAATACAATATTAATTGCGGATATCAAATATTTCACGACGCATCTTATCTTAATGAAATCGACAAGAACGCAAAGTACATAAACTTATCTAATCAAGTAAAAATGCGATCGATCTAAGTATATAAATAGACCGAGTCAACATAAACGGAAATACCGTCCAGCATTTGCACTGACAACACCGTGAGAAGACGATGTCGCCGATTGCTTTGATTCTGCCAGCAATTTTTGCTCTGGCTAACTGTAAGTCTGCCAATCGCGTTTATCTATTAAATAGATCAAGTATACAATCGTTTCAGAATCGCGTGACTTTAATCGAGACAAAAAATGTTAATAATACAAACTATTTAGTATTCAGACTCTGTGAGTCGCGTTATTAAAAATTTGGATGAAAGAAGCGTACGAGACTCGATCTCTAAATGGGAATGCACTTTGAGAGGATTATTTCGATAATTGTTACAGCTGAACTTGAGCCAAGAATCATAAACGGAACCGTGGCGAAGCCGGGCCAAATTCCTTATCAAGTGAGTCCGATAGAAGAAACGTTCGCGATACGATGTTCTATCTTCTAACCAACGGATAACCTGTTAACCACGATAGCATCGTAATTTCTGAAATTAGCGAATTCTTGTTAGGTCTCCCTGCAAACCTCGTCGAATCATTTCTGCGGCGGATCGATATTGAACGCGGATTACGTTATTACAGCCGCACACTGTGTAGTCAGGCAAGTGGAACGAACAACATCAACATATTTTAAGCTCGAACTAGTTGCGATATGAATTTCAGTAATTCCGGGAACCCTCCGGAATAAGCTTTAATATTGTTTACAGTAAGTCGCCCGCAAGCATAACAGTCGTTGCTGGAACAGTGAACTTAACTCAACCAAATTCAATACACTCCGCCGAGAAGATTTACTATCACGACAAGTACAACGCGTCGGATTCCTGGGTGAATGACATCGCTTTGATCAAGGTATTTGATAATCGCAAGATCGACCAATCTATCCGGAATTTAATCCAACATTTTCATTAGGCGGTACGAAATTATACAAATTCCAATAAAATAGCATCGCAACTGTGCGCCGAGCAAAATTATCCATCATTAAAATTCTGCGAATCCGTTCGAAGGAACAGCAATCGAACAGAAATTTATTTCATCGCTTAATAACTTCAATTAAATGTCTCTGTGCCGCAATTTCTAATCAACCTTGCCATAAATGCATAAAATCAGCGATCTAGTGATCGCAGTAACGAAAACATTATACATTAAAAATTGCTGACACTTTTTACACGTTTTAGCTTCTTACCGACGAGAGTAACAACTTCGCTGACAGAGATGTAACTGTACTGATTTCGATAAACATATTTTATTGATAAAAGAGCAAGCTTAGATTTACAGAAAAAGGTTGAAATCTTGAAAAAAAGCTCGAAAGTATTTACAGTCGAATAATCTGGCTGTAACACTGACTGCTGTTCAAATGTTTCATAAGTTCGATTCGACAGCTAAAATTACAAGGATGCCGCTATGGATTACGAATAATATAATAAATTTCTCTATTCGAGCGCATTTGCTAATAAAGATCGCACAAAATCCAAAGAAATTCACTCATGTCGGATTTACAAGAAAAATCATTCCAGGTGCTTTTAACACTATGTAGGTTTAACGTTGATGTCGATTTCAGCAGCCAGCGATAATTAAGTGACACGCAATTGCTCTAAGGAATTCTAAGAAAATGCATAGTAGAACTCTCCATTAACCGAACTGGATTTCCCCCGTTCTTTATTATTTAAACCTTTGATTATTCCATGTAATAACGATGAATGCTATAGAAGGACCTCGATTATACTATTATTTCCGATAAATTATTATCGAAAATAAAAAGAGAATTTAACTGTCGATTTTGAATTCGGATAATCGTAGGTCTACCGTACCGATCTGAAGGTACTTTGGCTGTCAGCCACCGTGATTAATCGTGTGAATTTTTAATAAAGGTGAAACCCCGTTTCGTGAAATCCGCTCTGATATCATTCGTCCCTCTGCCAAGCCCCTCGGAGGTCGTTAAAGCTAATGACGAAGCCATAGTCTCCGGATTCGGCAGGCTCGCGGTAAATATTCTAATGGATTTCGTTCGAGATTGTAGAACAGCCAGCGGGCGGTTCACTAGTGACACGATGATCTAAATTCGAAATTGTTTCGTATCCGTGATACCGCAGTACGACGGCGAAAGGACGAAGCTTCTACACTGGGTCAACATTACAATCGCCAGCCAGAAGTATTGCAGAGACATTTATCAGGGAGAGGAAAATATTTACGCGACGCACCTGTGCGCCTACGATCCGACAGCTGTTAGGGGACATTGCAAAGTGAGTTTCCTAATTATTGGGTTGGCAACTAAGTAATTGCCGATTTGCTCAATGAAATCAAAAATCTTTTTTACTTGGAACGAAGTTTGATCTCTAATGTATTTTCCATTTTGTTCGATGACCTTTTGCCATCTCTCTGACAACTTGAAAATTCCACGCTCGTAGAAAGTCTGATCCTTTTCGGCCAAAAACTGAGTTAAGTGAGATTTTACAGCGTCATCATCATTAAAAGTTTTACCGCGAAGGGAGTTGTCCAGGGATCGAAATAAGTGGTAATCCGATGGCGCGAGATCAGGGCTATATGGTGGGTGTAACATCAATTCCCAACCAATATCCATCAATTTTTGCCGAGTGGACAAAGACGTGTGCGGCCTAGCATTGTCCTGCTGGAAAATGACACCTTTACGATCGACCAATTCTGGTCGCTTTTCCTTGACCGCTGCATTCAATTTGTTCAGTTGCTAACATTCACGGGTAATAAAAAATAACATAATAATAATAATAATAATAATAATAATAATAATAATTTTATAAATAATAATAATAATAATAATAATAATAATAATAATAATAATAATAATAATAATAATAATAATAATAATAATAATAATAATAATAATAATAATAATAATAATAATAATAATAATAATAATAATAATAATAATAATAATAATAATAATAATAATAATAATAATAATAATAATAATAATAATAATAATAATAATAATAATAATAATAATAATAATAATAATAATAATAATAATAATAATAATAATAATAATAATAATAATAATAATAATAATAATAATAATAATAATAATAATAATAATAATAATAATAATAATAATAATAATAATAATAATATTATAATATAACATTTACGGATATCATAAAAATGGGAGTGAGAGACATCTATAACTGAAATCGGCAATTACTTAGTTGCCAACTCAATAATTAAATCATTTGATCTCTAACACTTTGCAGTATAACGAGTCAGACTCGCGACGAAGATACGATGCACGATATATTTCTATTAAATAATTTATTGCTATAGAATACAAAATACAGTAATGTTTCCCTAACTGACACTCGGAAAACATCAAAAATCAACAATTTGGGAAGAGGAGATACGATTATCCGAGCCTTGCAGCTCGTTTTTATAGTTCTTAACAATTCGTAACTAAGAAAACGAACCGCAAGGCTCGATTAATCGTATCTCCTCTTCCTAAATTGTCCATCTTTGTGGACAATCTGAGCGCCAATTAAAGAGACATTACTGTATATCTTTATACACTGACATTTTGTACTAACAATATCTTCTCATTTTTGTAGTTATACTTGTTCATTCGGTATGATTGCGTTTCATCTATTTCTAACAGTGTTTATTAAGTTCATAAACTGACTCTAGATTTTTTCCTATTATATATCTACTTTGTTATACGTTCAGGGAGACTCTGGCGGTCCGTTGATGGTGCGTGGAAAGCTTGCAGGACTCGTGTCCTGGTCGTACAACTGTGCTAACACCGTGTATCCGTCGGTGTACACGCGTGTAAGCTTCTACCTCGATTGGATTAAAAAATATGCAGTCTAATTGTTAAAACATTGTTTCGATTGTGTATTAAAGTGAAATAATTTTCTGCACTTTGTAATACGAGTGTCTCAATTCTGTTCCCATCTTTCACCATCAATAAAACTAAGATATTTATTATTACACAGCTTAATTTTTGTCAGACAAAACTGTCTCATTTTTTAGTATTTCGGTTTTCGATGTAGCAGTTCGCTATGATTTTACTTTACTCCAAAAATCTATACAACTAACCTATAGACTTGTCTTACAAACTTCACCCCACACATAGAATCAACCCTGTAATTATTTGTTAGTATTATTTATTTCGCATTATTCATTTTCAGTAAGCGTATAAGTTACCAAGATCTACAAAACGCATCTTCTAAATTTTCATTATAGATTCAGATAAAAAAGTTTCAAAATATGAGTTCCTTTATTTTTCTTTTTTTGTCATTTCAAGCAATAACAACATTTTTAAAAAGCTTTCTAGTTAGGGTCTAGCAGACTGGTCCCTCTATCATCTGAACAAAAATTCAAGTCGTTTAGTCCAGTTCTAAGAACGTTATTCCCTTTTAAAAGGCGTTCGAATATTTTCGTTACCCACTGCATATTGTTCAGGTATGCTAATACAGTAACGTCTCCCTAACTGACGCTTAGATTGTGCAGAAATATGGACAATTTGGAAACAGGAGATACGATTATTCCGGCTTTGTACTACGTTTTTATAATCGTTGACAGTCGGTAACTATAAAAACAAGTCGCAAAGCTCCTCTTCCCAAATTGTCCATTTCCGGATTAGGAGACATTTTTGGGACACCCTGTATAACTGTGACATAAATAGCCTTGCTAATTGCGCATTTGTTGAGTAATGTGCACCGAAGTGCTTATTTAGTCTTGCCTGGAGGCAGCGAGAACAAATTTTTGATATTTGGTCTTGGTTTCTTTATTCCTCGCTTCCCTTCCTCTCTCTCTCTCTATCTCTCACTCACTCTCTCTCTCTCTCTCTCTCTATCTCTCACTCTCTCTCCCTCTCTCTCACTCTCTCTCTCTCTCTCTCTATCTCTCACTCTCTCTC